AAACACAGTTCCTAAGTTTCCGTACGAGCTGGCTTCTCCATTTTTGTCACCAAATTGTAATCTGATGGCAAGGGCTTTCTTAAGATATCCTTTAGCTTTGTCGTAGTCACCGAGATGATAAGATATAACGCCAATCATTTCATCGACGTATGCTTCATTCTTTTTGTCTCTCATTTCTTTTGTGATAGGAATCGCTTTCTCATAAAGTTCTCTTGCTTCTAGGTATTTATACTGCTGTTGATATATGTTGGCCAGTTTTACCATAAGATTCCCTTCCTCTTCTTTTTTACCACACTCGCGGTAAATGTGAAGAAGTTTCCTGCCGTAGATTAGTGCTTTTGTGTGATCAGGGATAAGACAGTACGCCCTGAAGATTGTTCCATAAATACCAATATGAAGGGAATGGAAAATTTCTCCTTCCGCTTTTAGCCCTTTGTTATTTAGGAAGATCAAACATTCCTTGCAGACCTTAATGCCTTTTTGCGCACGACCAGTGTTGAGAAGGAAAGTAGCAACAACCAAGCCAATAACGACGGCGTGTAAAATGTCATATATGTTATTCATAGCGTCCTCCTCTATGTACCCTAATAAAAATAACACAAATCAAGCCTTTTAGTTATTTAGAGTAATAATATTCGGTCGTAAGCCCTCTTGCCCACCATCATATAAAAAAGTCTTGCCCAAGACGCGAATACGACTTCACCGGCCTAAATCTTCCCTCTCAATTACCGCCCCACCCCCCACCCATACAATGTTGAAAACTACTACCTGCAATTTCTTGTGATTTTCAACATTTTATTGGGTGGGGAGGGGGAACAGTAACGTGGCTTCAAAAGCTGGAAGCAGCGCATTTTTCAAACTTCAGTAGTAAAAAAAATACAATTCGTTTAATTACATAAGTGTCCCAAGGACTTTTGTCCACGATTGTAGAGGTAGGCGTATAAGTGATTACTAGAAAATCCAACGGTAGGGTAACCCTGCTTTGGACTAGTATCTCGTCTGTAAAAAATAGTGCTGATCCAAACGCGAAAAATTAATGATGAAAGGACGAGTTCGTTAGCTGAGTCCTGCTATTGTTTCCCAGTATCTCGAAGCCCTGATAAAACGCGGAACGCGAGTTTTTGAATGGCTTCTCAATCACGCCCTATCCATTGGGCCACACAAGCGTCAT